TTTTTGCAAATGAAATGCTCAGCTGCAGGCTTTGCATAACATTGCATCTTGATGCTGCTGCATGAGGTTAATAATGGGAGCTGGCTGGCTTATTCCCACTTTGTCAGCTGAAGGCCTTCTGAAAAATGGTCAACAGAAAAGAGTGGCTGAGTTTTTAAAGTCTGTTTTTAATAAAGTAGCCCCTGGTAGTAAATTATTAACATGCTCTTTTTTCTCTGATTTCTAATTTGATGAGGACCAAATGGTAATTGGACAATTTCATGTGCTGCATGCTGTGCTGGCTGACAGACCCAGAGCTCCAGGCACTGTCTAGCCAGGCACTTGAATACTGAGCCATTTTTGCCCTGCACTCTGGAGCTTTACAGAAGAACATCAAATGAAGCACTGTTTAGTATTTTTCTTAAAGAAAAAGACATAAAGTCACCTCAAACAAATGGAAAAATAAATGAGTGGAGAGATTTCGGATCTCTACAGTCATCTGTTAAAACTCAGTACTACAACTTTGTCAAATAAAATGATCAAATTTTGAAAAGATAAATTCAGTTTGTTTTGTAAGACTTCAGGAGCCCACCAAATCAGGAGAGTCCTCAACCCCTTCTGTGTGATTAAAGTTTAAACTCGCTAATATTTGTCTTCCACTTTATTTTATCAACCCTATCCAGATCAGATTACCAAGATCCCTCTGGTTAAAATATATCTTGATTATCTCCCAGACAAAATGATTGGTAGGTTAGCAAAAAAACCTCAAACCATGCCAAACTCACAGTTATTTGAAAAAATTTCTTTATATGTGATATTGTTGCTGGATATCTTTATATGAGTTTCTCAGCTGGCAGGCAATGAATTGCTATTTCAGCACAACAACAGGTAGTTTTTGTTCAGCAGTCTCTGAGCGTGCCTCAGCCTTTCAGCAAAGCTCTGCTGGAGTTATCTGCTCAGAGGGAATACAAAGCATTTTCCGTGGCATCCCTCTGCCTTTGCATTGGCGCCTTTGCCGCGTGCAGCAGCTGCACCTCTTTTGCACCGCTGAGACACCTGAGTGCAGCCCCAGCCTCAGCAGCAGGACAGACATCTGAGCTGCTCAGGAGAGCCACAGGGTCTGTGGGATGTAAAAATTATTTACGTCCACAAAATTCTGTCAGGTACAAATGGAAAAAAAAGATTAAAAAAATGAAAAGACAGTGCTGCTTGTTGGAGACCCACGAAACATGAATTTTGTTTTCAGTTCAGCTTTTGGATCTCAGAACCATGCCTAATGTTCTGAACAATGCATTACCTTTTGCCCTGTAGGTAGAAGATCTAAAATCAAAACTTGCTACTCAAGAGGCAGAACTGCAACTGAAAAAATCAAGATACTGAAGCTTTGATTGCTAAGATGGGGTTTCAAACTGAGAAACTAAGCCAAGAAAAGGCCATTGCAGAGGCAGAGGAGCTAAAGGTCGGTCTAATTCTCCTATTTACTGATGTTGAGCTATATTTAACACAAAATAAACCTTTTTCGGAGAACAGTTTTGAACAACTTCCTCTCTAGGGAGCATAAAGTCTAAAGAATTATTATACTTACACGTGTAACAGCATTTCACACCATGATGACCACTTGACCTTTCTTTACATTATGCCTTTTCCTAACCTTTTAGCTGTTTTAATGAGATGAAAGAACAATAAATACTGAACTCATTCAAGCATTTAGTGGATGTGGATCTTGAGAATCAGACCTATTTGTAATAAGTAAAGGTCAAAGAGTCATGTCTTAGCACTTCAGATTTCTAAAGTCTTTGAGGCTCTAGGTAAATTGAACAACTCAATTGATACAGTTCATTCCACCATTTTACAAGGTACAAACCTTGAATCTTAAGACTATAATAGCATTCCTGACAATATATGTCTTCAGTGTTGACTCTCCTTTTTGCTTTCAGCTCAGCCTATTAGCGTGAGTTATCAACATCTGTGTTGGAAACTCAAAGGCTCACATGCTTTACTGTTCACCACAGAATGAATAGAAATGCATAATTTCATCAGGAGTCTAAAATTTCCATCTACAGTTGCAAGCATGGCTTTTGAAACAAAGCCCCAGTAGTATGGAGTGCTGTAAAGTGAGTTCCTCTGCCTTTAGAGTCTGGAAGCCTCATTCAAGTATGACATTTTGCTGCAAAATCTCATGTACATTGTGTCATTGACCAGTAGTGGAGAAAGGAGTTCTTAGTTGACTTGTAGTAGTTGTTGATAGCCTGATTTTGACATATGGAAACTTCAAGTTTCCAAGGATTTTGTAGTTTCCAGATATTGACCAGCAGGGTCAGACTGTCCTGTCTAAACATTCAAAATAGCCTCACATTTTCTTCTATTTTGTTTCTTAAATACTTACCACCAGATGATATTTAATACCTTTCTAAAAGCCTTGTGTCTAATCCTAATTTTACTGAGAGAAAAGTAATTTTTGATACTGAGATAAATGAAGACATGATCAGGACCTTTATATTTCTCTGGATTATGCTAACTACAGACTTCAGCCTTTTGCTGATCCATATCTCACCTAAGACTTGAAAATGGCCATGAAGTTTCAAGTCCAAATCATGCAATTAAATAAACTTGTACAAATGGGATCCAATAGCTCAGCATCCTACCAAACACTTTTCATGTGATTCTTTTCCTTTATTGGTTCCATATGCTTCTGATAAATTTGGATGTTCAAAATACACCCTTAACACAATTTTAATTACTTCATTAAGCAGCTAGGTGAAACACATAGAGTGATTATTGTGAGATAATCACATCTTTGGGCCACTTTGTTTCAGGGATGAAGTTCAGCACCTGACACTAATGATTACTGTACTCCACTGTTCATTGCTTTATTGCACTTCTGAAATGTTTTCATTGGAAATGAAAGCGTCATTTTGTGCTACATTAATTAAAACTGTTTCATAAGGTTAATGATAGTTTCTAAACACTAATCTTCTCTCATTTTTTGTTACCAAAAGAAGCCCAGCAAATGAGAATACATCTTTAGCTAAGTAATTTGTGAAGACTCTTCCTAATTGATTAAAATATGTCACCCTTTAAAAAATTATTTTTGCTTTCCTGTTCTATAGATTTTGAATTGGAGTTTACAAGAGCTTTTTGGGTTTTACAACCTTAAGCAAGTAAATACTTTGGAGGTATTGACTTGGAGTGAAATATTACTTGGAGTGAAATATTACTTAAGAAAGAATAGGTGAAGAATCGAAATCACTTTAGATCCGACTTATTAGGAAGAGTTCAGTCTGTTTTCACATAACTGTGGCAGGGCTGCGCACCTGTATAGTAATGAACAAGAGTTTTACCATGAAAATGACACTGGTAAGGTTTTAAAATCGTGGACAGTAATGCTGCTGTCATTTTGTTGGCCATTATTGTGCTCTGAATGTTGTCAGCCAGAGCAGCTTACACGTGAAAGTGCATATGCCATTGCCTTTTAAAAGAGGACCTACCCCTTTAAAGACAGAAAATGTGCAGGTCTTGGTGTAGGTATATGTGTGTGACAGTGACACCAGCTGAGAATTAGGAACATATCATAAAACCTCCATCACAGGAGATGAGGGAGATATTTGATTAGTGACTTGTCATTTATAATGTAGTGCATATTGATTTTTAATATTTGTTATTGCCACAGACAGTAGCTGTGTGTGTCCTGTCTAATAAATGTGTACATGGAAAATGTCCCCAACAATTGTAGAAACAGGTTTTGTAAGGGTATTAAATTTTTACAGAGGCTTGTTACTGCCAATGCAGAGTGCTTGATCCAAGTATTAACATCTTGATCACTGTAATATCTTCTTTCTCTGTAATTAAAGTAGGTTTAAGCAAGACCTGACAGGAAATGAATTTGTGAGATGAGCGTGAGGTACATGGATAAGGATGAACCAAGAATAACTGACTTCAACCTCAGGCAATGTATCTTTAAAAGTGTGTATGGTAATCTTCCAATTACACAATCGCTGGTGATACAGAATGCCCCCCAGGTTTACTCTCCCACATAAATTTGCAACGATGAAATCATAATCCGCTTTTAAACAGATAATTAAATTGTTGCAGAAGGTTGTGGAGGTACTCAGATTTCATGTAGGACTGATGCTAACTGATGTAAACTCACTGATCTAAGCCACTGTTAAGCCAAAATAAGTGTCTTGACAAAGCTGCTTGAACTGATGATTATTCAACTTCCAAACTTGAAATTAAGTATAGTGTTTCCATATAGCGTATTTCCATTTCTCCCATTCCCTCCCTTGTTCTGACCTATGGTTTCAGACCTGATGAATAAAAAGAAGGCAATTTTGGCAAAAGATGGAGGCTGGTTTGACAAATTTTTATTTGTTTTCCTATATGTTTTCCTATACCTCAAGACTGGAGTGAATATTTTGCTGTTTAGGGAAAGCTCCAGTGAACCACTGACCCAGTCATTGCCTTTTTGGTATACCCTCTGATTATCTAAAAGAAAACCCTTTGAAGGGGAAGAAGGGGCAGTGAGGGGAAAAAAGTTCAAGGGTCTCAAAATCTTAGCAAAAAGTCTTCACTCTCTTGTTTAGCTCCAGCTTTTGCATCTGAACCTAGATCATGAAGGGCTTGTAGCTTACTACTGCAATGGCAATGGTTGCTGAGTTCCCCTCTGTGTTCAGTAACTCCTCATCCCTCAGGCATGGCAATCACACCACTCACTTTGGTATCATCTGCAAATTTACTGAGGGTGAACTTGATCTCACTGTCTGTGTCACTGATTAAGATATTAATTTCTTCTGGCTGTGTCTCCTCCCAGCCTCTCATGCATCCCCAGACCCCACACCAGCATGGCAGTACAAAAGGCAGAAAAGGCCTTGGCTCTGTGTAAGCCCTGCTCAAAAGTAACAAGAACATCTCTGTATTATCAACCCCGAGTTTAGCACAAGTCCAAAACACAGCCCCATACCAGCCACTCTGAAGAAAATTAACTCTACCCCAGCCAAAGCCAACATCCTGTCACATTAAAGGAACGGGCCCAAGGACAGAAGCTGGAAAGCCACAAAACTCTTTATAGGAAAGGTAAATATCTAATGGACATCAGATAATATCTGAGATGAAAGAAGAAAATAACAGTTAAAAAAGAGAGTCAGAGAAAAAGAAAATAAATCACATCTTCATTTTCTTGCAGCTTGAATTTAGGGGGAGAAGATTTGACCCTGCATCGCTCTTTTCTGTGTACTTTTGGTGACAGCCTGAGCACCACTGGGATTTATTGAATGCAGAACCAGGAGAAAATGAAAGGGAGAACATTTCATTATATTTATCCAATTTTCCCCTAATTTCCCAAGCAAGACATAAATCACAGATTGTATTTGTGACAGTGAATACTTCTGTATTTTGGGGAAAATATTTTTGCCTTGTACAGAATAACATTTCTAAATCAATAAGCTAGTGCAGGATTCCAGTTTTACCTTTGAGATGAAAGTAGGATTTAGCTTCTGCTTCTGAAAAAAATTGAACGTTACATACACTGGAACTTCTCACAGGTTGATGACTCTTTGCAAGATTTAATCAGCTATGATAAGGAGCATATCTCTCAGCATTTTCTGAAGGTCGCCAAGGAACATTACTTGAAGGATCCAGACTTCAACCCAAATTATGTTCATACAGAATCCTTTGCAGCAGCTGGTCTCTGTTCCTGGGCCATCACTATGGTAAAAATCAGTGAGGATGTATATATCAGCTCTTGAATTAGCCCTGATGGGGGAATTTTGGTTATGATTTTTTTTGTTTTTTTTATTAGACTCAGCTTGGTGTTCTGGGGAGCGTGAGGAAATTCTCAATCACCAGAGATCAAGTGGGAAGTGCTCAGTACTTGGCAGTATGTATGCATGTATTTCCTTCTAGTAGGAAGTGGTAAAAAAGATGGAGCTGTCCACGACTTTTCAACTGTCGTTGCAGTTGTGTTACAGATGCAACAGTTGGGAAATATTCTCCAGATGTACATGGTCCACTTGAAACATCCATCCTTGGTCTGGCTGTCTGGAGTATGAGACAGGGCTTATCGCTTGTGATTCCCTGGAGCACCTGGCAGCAGAATTTCTCCATTCATCCTAGAATGCTCATTTAATTACTGAACAGTAAAAACTTATCAATTGTAGATGAAATCTACTCAAGTGTAATGCCTGTCTGATTTCCACCTGTATTCTAAAATCATGAAAGTTATACTTATAAATTAATTCTATTTGAAGAGTAGACGCACTAAGGTTGCATTCAGTTCTGCTTAAAATGTCCTTCTATAGATTATCATAAAATCTGCTGTAGTCAGTAATGAAAGAAATCTTTGCCTGACTCACTGTTATGTAGAAAAATGGGTCTAAAGCAAAGATGAAAGACTACTGGGATTATCTTAAAGTCTTTCATCAGGAGTAATTTGTAATTTCTGTAATAAAGTGAGACCAATTTCCTCTCTAATGTATCATTGTGGTATGTCTTGTTCAAGGTGTATTGTGAGAGAGAACCAAAATGTTGTGCACTGGCTCAGGCTAACACTGAATTAGCAGCAGCTACAGGAAAGCTAGAAGTCATCAGGAAAAAGCTTCTTGTAAGTATGGCTTGATTCATAAACTTCATTCTCTAACACCTTGAGCCCCCTTAATTTCATTAATATTTTAAATTTATTTTTCTTAATGTGTTTTATTTTTATTGATTTTTTTACTACCTAGTTCAAATATTAGAGGCATGCTCTCATTAGGAATTACCACTATTTTCCCCTCAAATGTACTGAAGAACATTCTGCAGTTTGGGTGGAAGCCCATGAAGCTGTTTACCCGAAATAACTGAATTTCCTCAAAGCCATCTGGGCACATCATAACCAATAGGCTAATAATTGGAATGGTGGTTGATAAAAATAACTGACTGTGAATTTTCCAAGGAATGTATGCCAAGTTTTTATACCAGTAGTGACCTACTGCAGTGTAGCAATAACATCCAGAAAGGACTTTAGAAGCTCACACTCATTTGTGTTAATATTTGTCATTAAACATACAATAAAAACAGCACCAAATGTCTGATTTTCTGAAAGACCCACAAACACGGGTACACGTGTGTGCTCGCATGCACACAGAAGAGGAAACTTCGATTAGTCTTTTACTGACAAGTGTCTTGTGAGTTAATGATGTAATTGAAGACCACACTTGTCATCAAGTATCTATTGAACTTTTGAGAGGGATTATTTGTTGTGTAAGTGTGCATTTAATGGAGTGACTGCAGCACAAAGCACTCTTAATACAAAGACATCTCATGGTATCTTGGGAGATGGTGGGTGGAAGGAGTTTCTGCTGCAAGCTAATCAACCTTACTAAGCAAAGAAATCTTCAAATGCTTTGAAAGCTGTGACATTAATTAGGTTTAAAAGACTTTGACTTTGCCTCTGAACTTTTTGTTGGTAATATTTAGATCTGTAACCTCATAGTTTAAGATATCAAGCAATAAATAAAGGCTGAACAAATCTGTAATGAGGCATTTATTCTCATTGCTTTCTCTTGAACTGGCACTTTAAAAGAATGACAAACATTCACTTCTATGGAAACCCTTGCAAGCCTGTGAGTTACGGTATTTTAGAATTTAATTCTTTATTTCAGGAATTTCCTGGTTTTCTTCCTGCTATTTTAATATCCATTTTTTTCTTGTTCTGAAGGAGATAGAGTTTTAATGGCTAAACAAAGATAGATTATACCATCTGACTTTATCTTCTGATCCCTCTGACCCCCACCCCAAAAATCCCATCAGCTGTTACATCAGGTATTTTTCTTCCCTGTGAAACAGCCTTAGCCTTATGACCTTGGAGCTGCCCATTTAGATCAAAATCTACCCTAATGAAGCTTGTATCTGCACTAAAACACAGCTTTATGGAAGCATCATGTTTTTTATTTCACACATCTATACTGATGTGTGTCCATTAAGTACAAACACTTTTGACAAAAATAGTCATCTAGTGTTGTTTTGGGGAGATTTTATATTTTTTGGGTTTTTTTAATACACAGCAGTCAACCCTGAAACTCATGGAATCTTTTATTGTTTTAATGTGTTCCTCTGAAAAAAACCCACTAATACATCTCTTTTCCTTGCCTGACAGTATCTCAAATAACCTTTTCCTGGTTTAGGAGACCTCGCATTCAATCAGCCTCCAAATCCTAATCGCACTTTTTTGCATTTGTTTATTTCCCTTTTTTTTTTTACATTTGTTTACTTAACCTTTTTTATGTTTATTTACATATTATTTTATGTTTATTCTTTCCTCTCTTTATGCATTTTTCTGAGGGTTGTTAGCAGCACTATTTCTCTCAGCTGTGCTTAGTTCCTAATAGGAAGAATTCTGCACTACAGGTGAAGTTGCAATTCCTTTTCATTTGTCTGTTTCCTGTGCTAGTTCAACACTTGTCATACTGTCATTTACTATGAATATTTTTACTAACCACTTTTTAAAATCCATACTGCCAGGATTCCCTTTGCATGTTGGGAGGATCCCATTAAAACTATAATTTTTATAACTGATTCATACCGTTGCTGATCCACCTGATGAACTTTTCTAAGGAATTGTAGCTTTAATTTTTAATTCTCTAGCAGGTATTACTCATAATAATAAGCTCCAGAGCTCATGAGGTTGTTGAATTGATAACTCTACAGTTGGACAAATTCATTGCTGACAAATGCAAAATAACATATTTGAACTTTTTATGAATTCTTCTTGATTGCTGTTCATTGATTCATAGCTTAGGAAAGAAGACATGGGGGCTGATCATAAAGAATTTAAAGACAGCTTTGAAGTTATTCCTGTACTGAGTTGAGAGTAGGAGTGGATTACCCTCAAAGATCCTTCTAAACTATATCATTTTATGATTCCAAAAATAAAATTGAAATTTAGTTAATCCAGTAATATTTTATAAGATTAAATTCAGCAGAAGAATGAATAGGAAATAGCTGTCTAGGCAGTGTATCTACTATATATGCTAAGATCTATTTCTAACATTTAAGTAAGTGTTATATAGTAAAAACTCCTGCACACATCACTCAGGAAAACTTGGTTTTGACTTGTTTCTCATAACTGACTTGTGATTAGTCCAGAAATTTGAAGATGCCAAGAAGAGATTCAATTTTATGAAAAACCTTAAAAAAATGTACCCTTACATAATTCATGTCATAGTCTACCATTTCTATACTGCAGATTATTGGCAAAATTATTCTTTTTGAGGAAAATTATTCTTCTTGGGCATTTCTCTATTTGCTTCTTGTGGTCCACTTGTTGCATTCATCTCTCAGGAAGAATGCCCAGTTACCATTTTTAGGTGCTCTACTATAGAGCCTCCAATCACTTCAAAAGCTCCAGTTACGGTGCAATCCTTTGCACAGGCCAGTGCAAAATATTGTGCATTCTAATGTCTTTCAAATTCCAGATAGGAATAGTATTCTCATCTAATGTGTCATCCTTTCTTCCATTTGTGAGGTGATTGAAGTTACTGAATTCCACAAACTGCTTAACTATATAGATGCTATATCCAAACAGCTTCCAAACACTTGCACTAGCAATGATTTCTGTATCTATTGTACTCAAACCATATAATTCCTCAGTAATGGAAAGAAAACATTAAAATGTTATTTAAAGAAAATATCTGAGGGTGATTGAAGTAACCTAGGTTTTAATTACATGTCTAGTTTTATCTAATAGCTGTGTGGCAGACTGGAAATTATCACAATGTCTGTAAGTAGTGCATAGCATTAAGACACATATAAATGACATTGATAGCTTCCCGAGGACTGGCAACTAGAAGGAAGAAAAAAATAAATTACAAGTTAGCATGCACCAGAACCTCAAACAATCTATGAAGCTTAGAAGGAATTTTTTTCCAGAATTGTAACAAGTCAGGATTGTGACACTCACTTTATAAAATGTTAATTCAAAAAGTTTCACCTATAGGAAATTATATGGTTGAGAGATGTATTTCTTCTGATGGTTAGTGCCTGGTTTCCTGCCTGAAATATTAGAGGATGATGAGTGACTGAGTTCATTAGAAAAGTTCAGCAGATGGAATGAAGTCTGCAGACTGGTGAGTACAGGATTCCTTCCTGTCTTTGCACCTTGCTCTCTGGGCTCACCCTTTTTCTCCATGTAAACATGTACAACATGGTCAACAGTGAATAAATTTCTCTGCAGATTTTCATCCCTATTCAGTGATCCTGAACTGCACTGCTCAATGTTACATTTAAAATGAGCTCGGCTTCCTCAGCTGGAAACTTGCATTAATCCATATGCTAAAGGACATGGTGTGCAACATGCTGTTCATGGGGATGGCTGTTGTGTGCAGCAGTAGCATTAAACAGAATTAGCTGATGAAAATTGAATTAGCAGAATTAGCATGAAACATTGACATTTTACTGTCATCCATCTTTAGAGTTCAAATAAAATGCAATAGATATTTCAGGCAGTTTTCTTTGTCTTGTCTAGAGAGTTTTACATCTAGCAAAGTTTCAACAGTTCAATTTTTCCAGCCATGGTACTTCTCGATCTGCTTGATTTCATTTGTCATTTCAGTATTATGTAATGTGGACCCCTGGCCTATGCAACCTGTTCCACCTGGTTCATGTCAGGCTTTTTAAAGGTAAGATTCAATGTGTAAGGAAGTCTGTGAAATTAGTATAAAGGGAAGGCAAACTTGTATTTTTTCCTGGGAAAAGAAAAAATGAACCATGCATTTCTTAGCAACAGGTACTTAGATTTTATTTACCTTAGCGGCTGATAAACCTGTGTAGCCCATCAACCTGTAGAAAGCTCTTAGTGTTTGACTGAGTTGTTTGAGTAAACAACTCAGAGTTGTGTCTGTAAAAACAGGAATTCTTCTAATGTTAAAGGAAGGTCACTCTCTGTATATGGACACTTTTTTTGTGCCTGTCTCTCTGGGCTATCACTCGGCTGTATCCAGTCAGCAGCATTGGCCCCTATTCTTCAGTTCATTTCTTGCCCTTTTCCCTTTATTTGCCTGTCTCTTTTCCATCTTCCTCTATCAATTTTCTGAAGAATAAACCTGAAGGCAGAGCATCAGATGCCAGTGATCTCTGCTTCTGCACTCATGAATATTGTGTGCTCCCTCGCTCATAATTCAGCTTCTTTCTGTTGGCAGAGAGAGAGAGGCAAGGAGAGTTGTACGTATTTTTCATACGGAAGTTTTTGTGGCCAGCAATTCTCAGCGATGACAACCAGTGCAGATGTTAGTAATCAATAACACACCTTCAGTCTAGGCAGCACAGTTACTGACCTCCTTTCACTTTTCATGGGCTCCAGAATACATCTTTAAATGGGAAATGATGGGGGGATCGGCTGCCCCTGCAGTCAGTTCGCAGACAGCGCCAAGCTGGGCAGGAATGTTGGTCTGCTGCAGGGTAGGGGGGCTCTGCAGAGTGAACTGGACAGGCTCTCCTCCCAGGCAACAAGGACAAGAGAAGACGGCCTCAGGTTGTGCCAGAGAATGATTAGATTGCATATTAGGAAAAATTTCTTCACCAAAATGGTTGCCCAGTAGAGTGACCGTCCCTGAAGGTATTTCAAAGATTTCTAGGTGTGGCATTTGGGGACATGGTTTGATTGTGGGCTTGGCAGTGCTGGGTTAACCGTTGGACCCAATGATCTTAAAGGTAATTACTGACCAAAATTATTTTATGGTCAATGGGCAAAATTGTAGTAAATATTGTTACAGTAATATTTTCTGATGGTGAGTATACACGGGCTGGTACTAATAATAGAAATACCCTGTGTAATTCAAACATTTTAAATATTCTGAAGATGATTTAAAAACATTCTGTGGAAGATGATGGCTATGAATCCTTTCTTGTATGTTAAATTTTTAATATCCCATCAAGTTCAACAATTGCTGTATAGTAAATTGATTACAGTAAATTGAATTACAAGGTAGTTAGGAAATATCAAAAAGGATTGTTTCTTCACAAGTAAAATTACAAGTATTTTTAGTGGAAATAAATCAGATTTCCATCCTTCATGAGACTAGTTATTTGCTAAAAATATTTATGAAAATTATGACTATTACATTCATATATATTTTACAATAAGTTTGTCTATACTATGCAAGGAAAGAATAAAGAAGTAAAATTTAGTAGTGGTAAGGCTAAAAAGTTGGGCCAAGCTGATCCTTTTTGCAGAAGTGATACAATTTGTATTATTTATCATTACAATCATTGTTATTAATATATGAGAGGACTTAAAATATACTCTGTGCCTGACAAGAATTATCCAAGGACACAGTCCAGCGGGCTTACTAAGGAGAGTAATGTCACTCTGCTGTGATTTGTGGAACAGAGTTTCCTGGCACTAGCTTCCTCGAAAACAAGTGTATTTAAAATACATGGTTTATCCCATAGGGTGTGGAATTTAGGGTGCTGGAGTATAAAATGCAATATGTATTTCTGCTGACGCTAGCCTTTATTTATGTTGCATGCTATGAAAAGATGACAAAAGGCAATGGTGTGTTTTGTAGTGACAACTTTCCTATTCAGAAATCATAGGATAAGAACTGCTGTGATAAAGGAGACTATTATGTATCAAAAAAAAAAAAAAAATCCCACAGATATTGAGGCATTGCTTACTGTTTCTCTCACTCTCTCATCTTTACTACCTCAGCCTTTGATGGATGAGTGTACTTGAGCTATAGCCAGCTCTGTGTTAACATGCAGGCAAACTTGAGGTGTCTAGAAATAAGTCTCTCCTAAAAAAAAGAGTAGAGAACTGTTACTGTGGTCTTTCTTCTTATGCCTTGAATGCTAGATTGATGAGTTTTACTTACAGCCCTTCTCTGTTAGATGCCCTTACTGAGGGTGAGTCCTCATACTTACTAAGTCCTCATTATTCTCTCATTTAATATTCAACCTTCTTTTTTAAGCTATAAGATGTATCTTTCCCCCTTTGCCAATAAATTTCTTATTTTAAATTTATAAATAAATTCTAAATTTCCTGGCTGCACACCACCAGTTCAAGCATCAAACCTGACAGAAGAGAGCCAAATCTCTGATCCTGCCAAAGAGGTAAAAACAGCTTTTGTGGAGGTATGCACAACTTGTTCCTGCTGCTGTTCTTTCATTAAACCCCACAGAGGAAAATTTTGCCCTCAAGTGGAACTCACTGTTTTTAGTTCTGTATGTTACTCTAGAGAAACAAATTGGTTTGAGGTAACTGGTTTTGAGGCATGTGCAGCATGAAACCCCTGAAAGCAAAGCCAGGGATGTTGCTGCCTTCTGAGCAGAGTGCAGAGAATTGTGGTTAAAGGTGCAGATCAGTATGCAAATCTGCCCATGAGCAAATTACTAAATGTTTTTGTGTCTTCAGGCTCATATGCAAAATGCGAATAATAATTCTGTCTTGCATTTTTTTGATTTAAATTGTTGTTAGTTAATGTACTTATGGTGGTCCAGGAGCTGCAGGAAAAAACCCACAGAATTTAGCAAAACATTTCCTCTGAAGTTTGTGTCGCTCAAAGTTAAGGGTACTGCATAAAATTATTGTAATTAAAATATATTATTTGGAATAAAAGTAATAATACTTTTAAAAAACAAGCAAAACCCCCAAAAAACAAACTATTTACCCATCCCTTTTCTGCATAAGCTCACATCTTCACTTGAGATAGCAGTTGAAGAGGCAGTCCTATGTCAAAATGATTAAACAGAATAAACAAAATTACTGGGCTAGCCAACAGGTTGGTTAAGCAACCTGAGGTAAGAAGATTTTTCCTGAATGTTCATCTTAGTGTGAGTTTTTAAATAGTTGAAATTCTTTGTTGAACAGGAGGCTGAGTCTAAACTTTTGAATATTGTATGGAGAAAATAGGTGGGGGAAGTGCAGGGTGGAAAAAAGGAGACAAGATGACCATTATTAGAAATCCTTTAAATTAAAAAAAAAAAGACCCAACCAAACAACCCCAAACCACAAATAAACTCTCAATAAAATTGTGTGAAGTAAAATGTGCTGCACCACAATTTTATTTTCTAAAAATCAAGTATTGCAGAGAAACTGATATTGGCATGATTGCTAGAGAGAAATCTCAATAACGAAGTCACCACATTTATACACAACTGTGAACACATTGTGACAGCCTGGGCAGCCTCTGGTTAATGAGCAGAAAGACTGAATAATCCTCCAGGTCAGGATGGAGCCGCCCTGCATCTGCCCTTGTTGCACTTTAGATTGCAAATAAGTGGAAGGCACCCATCAGATATTTGCTATTTGCTTTTGGTTTTTTACAGAAACTAATAATTTTTAAATAAGAATGAAATGTATTTATGTTAAAATTATATATATTTCAGTGTGATTATTAGCTTTATTTGCAGACAAACATCATTAAAGCTACTGCATGCCTATTTAACAGAACCACTGGAGCCAGCCACAGCATTGCTAAGCAATCTCCCCTTGGTCTTTACAGAAATTGTTCTGTCTCAATTCATCATCTAGAATTTTAACAATTCCTTTTTTTTTTTTTTGCAAATATGTGTATATGACAGGAAATAGAAGGTACAAGGAATATTTACACTATGACATGAGTTCCCAAGGCAATCTGAATAAATATTTTAAGTTGGATTTCTTAAAATCCCTGTGACCTTGCTTTCTAAGATCACAGTGTGGATACTTTTGTTTCTGCAAATATCTCAGCAGAGGCTAGCAATCATTATTAAATCCGTTTGGAAAAAACTACTGTAAGGGCATAAAACTAATAAAAACCCCCAGCTGTTAAAACAAATATTTTCTCTATTCCTAAGTTATAATGCTAGAAATGTAAAATATGTAAACAATCTTTCCTTCAGTAGAAAAAGAGTGAAGTTGATGTTACTATCTGCATATGAAAACTTTTGTTTGTCCCAAGACACCTGAGATGGTCCCTATTGGCCTGGCCTTGCAGCCCTCCAAAGCCTTTGGAAGCTCTGTGCAAGTCAATGGCCTTAGCCCATGGTTAGGCTCCAGGTCTTGCAGATTTACACATAGTTAAAAGAAGTTTATTTCCAAAATTTGAGGTTTTATTAGTGATCTTATTGTGTAAGTTAACGTGGAAAATATTGGGAAGGATTAATTGAGAATGTCAAGCCTTTTCCTCTGAGAATAAATTCTTTTTGACTAGAACAGGAGACAGTTAACTTCTGAAAAGCATCAAGACTGATGATTTTGTCTATATAGCATTGACCTGGAAGCTCAGCCATTCAGACTAATAAATCAGGCAATTTATATTTAATCATTAACTAACTCCCGAGCTGAACAGCTATTCAAAATTAGAAATGGGTCACCCCGGCCAGGATGACATTACAGGCAATCTATAATGCATTAGAATAAAATTATAGTGATTTTTAACTGTCTGGAAATTTATTACACTGCATGTTCCAACTCTTAAACCCTTGTTAGCCAATGTCACTAGTGATTTATGGTGCTTGGCTGGTATGGTAAAATTACTGAAGATTTAAATAGACAATCATTCTATGTTTAGCAAATCTTCAAATTTCAAAGCTATTTTGGAGAATGAGGTGGGTACTCTTTACTGTTTATGACTTACCCATCAGTGACAACAAGAAAGAATGGATAAATCAAAAAGCCCTCTTGTAAATTAATGGATTTATTGTCTTGTTGCCCTCAGTTAATGATTTAAAGAAAAATCCAATGACTTCTGTAGGCAAAAAGGGATGTCTAAAATACTTCAAAGCATAAATGCTAGATTGCTGTTAGAACCTTTATCAGGAATGGACCTTTACTTGTCACTCTTTGATTGTCTCTTATGGATGGAACTGGGGTTTAGGAGGCCTTGACACACCAAATTCCTGTGTTTATATTGTAAAGCACATACATGCTAACTCTTTAAAGCAGCATACTTTGATTAATGATATTTCTATTTTCTTAGTGGACCTTCTATATTCCTCTTTTGCAACAAAAGACTTTGAGACTTCTGTTGAGAATTCTGTGTCTGTCTTCCCAACACTGAATGTTTAACCATTTCAGTAAGTATTTCTGATTTTTCTGAAAAACATAAGTGGAAAATACTTCATGAATATAAAATTAAACAATTCTTTTATTACTTTGGTTTTGTACACATCGAAAATTGTGTTTTAGATGAGAATGAGTTGTTCTTTGAGATTGCTTTTATAATCTGTACAGCTTTCAGAAATGAGCACATGTAAAAGTTTTCTTTTAAGCCCTGAAGTAGATGACACCAGCGAAAACCAAGCATTTAGTATTAAATTACATGAAATATAGAGGATACTTTCCATCCAGAGATTTACATTGATTTAGATTACGTCATGTAAAGGACTGGAAAGATATTATTTGATTACTATCATTGCTCTGAAAAACAAATGTCTATACAGGCAGAGCATAAATGGCTGTCCTTATAAATACTTCTGGAGCATTTTCCTTCTTTCATCCTGGCCCTTTCTCTGCTTCAGTCACAGCAGAATGATTTCCTGATGTTTCCCTAATGCAAGTGAACAAACTATGAGAAAACTTTATTTCATCTGAAGTATTTCAAACAGTACAAACAAAGAAGAAAGGTTATGACAGTTTATTCCTATTTTACATCAAGAATTTTATCCATTTGAAGATTACTCTCATGGGCAGTCAATTTTTACCTTCCTCTCCATGTCGAAGTCATTTGAGCATGCATTCATGCATAGTTTCATTCCTTTGCTGGAAACTGTACACACAGAACAATCAAAGCATAATGTGCCAAAACTGCTGGTTTGGGTTTATGCCATGTCACAAATCCTGACTGAAAAAGAGAGGATCTATATCTTAAATGTTCATTTTCTTTAAAGAGAATGCTTTCATTTTCTGAAATTCTTTTGTAACCAGCTTAAATTTCAAATAGATGGTGGGCTGTCTTTATCACATAACTGGAATAAAAGAACAGCTTTCCACATAGATGCTTATAATAAATCATCAAGATCTGAGACCATTCCTGACTATTCATCCTAAATATCCTAGGGTCAGCATGGTTAAAATGAACTCTGCAAAAGAACAAGGGAAAGCAGGGCTCTCTGTAGGGAAAAAAATATATATTAAGAAAATTATTCTAAAGTTAAACTTTGACAGAATCATTGCAGCTGGAGGGAACCTTCTGAGATATTCTAATCCATCCTCATTGATCAAACAGGGTTGGTTAGACCAGATTGTCCAGGACCATGGAAATTCCACAACCTTTCTGGGCAGCCTGTGTGTTTGGCCACCCTCATCTTTCCTCCTGTCAAAATTCCAAATCATTGCAGCCTTAGCTGAGTAAGATGTCTGTAGTTAGTGGGTAAAAGAAGAAAGATAAATAAGAGCAACAAACCCTTCAGGTCTTCCAGAATCGTAGAACATTTTGGGTTTGAAAGGACCTCAAAGATCATCTAAGTTCTAAATCCCCCACTGCCATGGGCAGGGATACCTACTCTGCTGCCTTTCTCCTCCCCTTGGGGGGAAAAAGTGTGAAAAGCAGAAAAAGTAGAAGTGAATCTTTATTGAGGTTGAAACAGCTTTTTCTTCCTCTTTTTTGTCTTCTAATATTTTTGTTTTCTTACCTTTCCTGAATGTTCCTGGAAATGCCTGCACTGGCAGTAGGACACCAGGTGCTGCCAATATTGAAGTGTGTCCACCGGGCTTTATCTGATATAAACAAAAGCACCAATTACTGAAAAAAGTCATTATAGAGAGTGTTTGACAAAGAGTTATATCCCATTGTTTTCAGCTTCAAAGGTTTGAAGTCACCACCAGAAATTCTGGACTGTTTCCAGCCTTTCCAGTCTTTGGAAGTGTGTCTCTTACTGATGGAGTACTTCTCCCATTGTACTTTGTGTGCTTCTGGTTAATGGCATGGAGATTAAACATTCTGTCACTTCCATGGTGCTCAGGAGATAACATTTTCTAATTTTGCTCTGCAGTCCAAAAACGTGTTGGAGCCAGTTCACTGAAAACCTCAAAGCACAGAAGAAAACTTTCATGTGGTGACATCTTATTGACAGCAGCATTTGTGTCTTACTTTGGACCCTTCATAAGACAACATCACCAGGAACCAAAGGAGCATTTCTGGATTCCTTCTCTAAATGTACAAAAAGTAAAATTTGAACTTCAGATGTGTGTGCTTAATTGAAAATATTTGCTTTCCAGGATATGTACATATGTACACTAACATAACTTATATATATATATATATATATATATATATACACACACACACACATATATAGTGTGTGTGCACACAGGCATACTTTCCTCAGATTACAGGTATCTCTTGAGGGAAATGAAAGAGAGAGGTTCTCTGGCAGAAGAATATCCCTTCCCTCACTGCCAAAGTCTGTTCTTTGTGACACCTTTGTAACAGCAAACGCTGTAAAAATGATAGAGCTGTACAGAGAGACCTATTCTGCTTAGCCTCTCAGCTCCAGGAAGAGCATGTAGTTATGATAATCCCCATTTTTCTGCACATGGAGGAAATCATGAGAGTACTCAGTAAATGCATAGTAGTTCCAATCTTTGCAGTTGTCTCTGCTAAGCTTTCTCCTTCCTTACTTTTGAAGCTTTGGACCATTCTTCTATTCCTTAGTGCAAATGTTCCTCACCCCTTCCTACTTGTTTCCTATTTCTTATGTGCATTATATGATGATTAATGTCATTTTTTCTCAGAAATATGTGAAATGGGCAGCACTTACCTCATTTTCAATCACAGATCTATGACACAGCAGGTGAGCTGAGTTATGAGGACGCTCTGGAAACAGATTTAATGTCAAATTCGAGTTTCCAAGGTCAGCACTTGGAACTGTGGGGGCATCTCTTTGTAGACATTTGCTTTGTGCTAGAGTTTAACAGTTGCTAATTTGTCTGGAGCTTTGCTTTACCTGGAACCTCTCCCTGTCCTTTTCCACCAAGAACTTGCTCGCAGATAAAAACCTTTCTCAGAAACCTCCTTCGACCTTACAGCCTAGGTAGAAAAAATTGCCCTGTATATTTTCAATAGTAGGACTCTGGAAATAAATGTCATTCTTAATTCTTTTAAGATTCTTCTGAAATGGATTGAATATTTTTATGAATAAAAATAAACCATACTGTGATGTTTTGCTTTTGCAGATGCTTTCACTGAACAGCAGTGAGACAAAATACCTCGTTTCACTTTTGTTTTCCTGCAAGTGAGGAAGAGTGGAAAATAAGAGACAAATACACTTGAAAAGTTATGTTAAAATAGATGTTTATTAATAGTTCTCTACAGGAGGAACAGTAAGTAGTTCTATGTCATTAAGTATCAGCAGATATGGTGACAATAAATGTACCTATATATTCAAATATTTGTTGTGCATTGTGTGAAAATTAATATTGGGAACACTAATAATACCCAAGTGCTATTGTTTTTCACCAGGAAGTATTTGAGATCATGAAAATTATTGTATTGGTTATCTTACAGTCCAGAGATAAAACAAATCATGTATTCATCTTTTGATATATTTAGATGAATGTGTTAGACATGGGAGATAGATATATTGCATGCTTACAGAAGGGAGTATATGCCTGCTGGGAACTTTGTGCTTGTATTTTCAGCTCATTCATCAAAAGTTAGGTTTATTTTGGGGTCAGGGATTAGAACTAAGAGTTAGACACTTTAAGGTGGTATGTGTTCTGTAATACTATGGTAACTATGACACTGTGCCACAGAAGCTGCACTAGAGGTACAATGCCATTCGTATTACTAATAATTGTGCAAATTTAGCTCAACTTAAATATGTGTAATCTTTTTCATTATAAATCACTGTCAGATATACATGGGGATTGTTTTTTGTTTCAGTGTGCACTTTTAAAAGAGGTTTCAGTCTAAAAGCTAGCAATGAGGACTAGACACATCCAGGGAGAAAGAAAAATTTGATGGAAGATTTTTTAAGATACTTCTGATATGGGGGGAGAAGGTAGTTCAGGTTTAATATTGATGATGCAATGCTTTCCTTTATTTATGGCTTTTGAATTCAATCAAAAAATCACTGATAAGGAAGCCTGGAATAACATCATGAAGGACTTGGTGGGGTTTTGCCCTTTGCTTCAGTAAGGAAAAAAATTAATTCCAGGCATCTGGTACAGTTCTTCTATTACACTTCCACCAACCCTTCTTGTTTGTTCCAAACAACTTATTTATTCACTCTCTCTTATTCTGTTGTGCTGCATTAGGCATTTCTCTTCCCACCCATACCCGTTTGGTAGGCAGTGGTTTCAGACATTCCATTTCTATTTTATTTCATCTCCTTGCAGGTGCCTGTGAGCGGTTGGCACCCAGCAGGCATGGCTGTGAGATGTGACAGCCCCCCAGTGAAGGGGCGCTCACACGAGAGCTTTGCTGCTGCTGCTGCCCACAGGGAGCTCCCTGGCTGCCTCTGCCCCCGGAGATGGCCCCATTCTCTGCCTTTTGAGGGTAGCTGAACTATATTAATAAGATGCCATGGGAATCCTGCTTTAATACTTTTTTTTTTGTGGATAAATACTGATTTATGTTCCAGAAATAGGTGCTCAAAGCATACAGAAGCATTGAATTTGCAATATCAGAATACAATGACTTTTATAATATATGAAGAATTTTTAACTTTATTGAACTATAAATATTTTTATGAAGTAAATGTCTTAAGAGAAAACCCTTTTTAAAAATCTGTTATAAATATGATAAACTGCTCCTCGTCACTTTCCTTTTATCTGAAACTCCACAGGGATCCTCCTTACTTTTCTGCCTTACTTTAATTTATATCCCCCCAGTTATCCAGTGCATTTCACTGAGTCATGTCTTGCTGCTTGGTAACCTTGCTGGAAGATTGTATTCCACTCTGATTCTAAGGCTCCTTTTCCTGCGACAGAAGGCCTGGACCCGATTGCCACGTTGAGGGATGATGCTACGGCTGTGGCATGGAGTAACGAGGGCGATAGAATGGCAACAAAAAACACCACTGCTCTAACAAACTGTGAGTGCTGACCTCTGATGATAGATCCCCAGCAAGAGGGAATTAAATGGGAAAAGAATAGATATGGAGCTGGCCTTAAAGTCGTAAGTCTAGGACAGAAAGGATATGTGCATGATGAAGAATTGGCTTTTGTGTTTACTGCCTTCAAGGTCCCCTAATTTCCATAAGGGATTTTCATTGGAATGCACTTACTTAAAGAATTGAAATATTACAACAATTCTGCTCATTTATTCATAGCATCATTTTCCTTTTAAAATTGTGCTTGAAAAGGCGCCCTTCTTATGCTGTTTTCAAGTGATGAGGAGGAAATGAAGTGGAGGTTGTTGTGCACTTCTTGTGTGGGTCAAACCATGTTTTCAGCAGGTAAAGTGCAAAGCCTGGTGGTAAAACCTTACTCATGCTCTACAGTTTGGTCAGCAGACCACATCATGTGCACCTCACATGCATGTGCAGCATTCAAGGCAAAAGCCAATATTGGGTCATTTCCCGGTAAATAAACATATTTTTAGTTCTTATACTTATGACTGAATTATATGTTAGCTGATAGCACTGACATGTAACTGATCTCTTAATGAATTTTCTTATGTTTACTTAGATTTAGGGAGATAATGCTCCATTTCAAAGGGTGTTCAGTTTTTTCTACTGAATTTCAGATATAACACACAATTACACAACACACTAAATGGTCATAGTAATGCCTGATTTTTAAAATAGGTCTTAATCATCTAGCCTATGTGCTCATTTGAATCAGCTCTTTTCCCTCATCTGTCCTGGTTTGGTTTTCGTTCTTTTTCCGACCCTCACAAATAGTCATCATTTTTCATTCACACTCAGTAGTACCCTGCTCTGTGAAGCTATATTTTCTGGTTACTTATCTTACCATTATTATTTAGTCCTTTTCCATGCCCATTGAAACAGATTTCTCCCAAGTTACTCAGATTCTAATTGTTCTTGAAGTCCTTCAAGGAAATAGTTATAATTTAAATGAGGAAATACCAAAAGCTGTAACACAATAACATCTATAGATAGATACAGATATAGATATAGATGATATAGATATAGGTATAGATACAGATAGAAATATAGATATAGATATATGTTCCCCCAACTTTCTATGTCAATTCCAGTGTCTTCCATGTGGGGCTGTATCCTCATATTTGCTTACAAGAAAAGCCACAGCAATATATGTTTGGGGTTTTTTGTTTGTTTGTTTGGGGTTTTTTGTTGTTGTTGTTTGTTTGGTTTGGTTTGGTTTTTTTGTTTTTTTGTTTTTTTTTTTTTAATATGAGGACTAGCAAGAGCATCGGTAGAAAGATTTTGAACTCAAAACTGTCAAACTCTTAAACACTGGGCAATTCTTTGTGAACAGGTGTCCATGGTTTAACCACGTGCTTTTAGAAAAACCTTGCCATTTATATTATATAAAGAAAATCTTTCTATAACCAGTATTTATCTAATATTGCAGGGGGGAATTATATTTTTCAGGTAAAGTTTTCTGAAGACCACTGAAAGAGATTTAGCTTTTGATGAGACTGTACGAATTGAAAATATGTGTGACTATTGATGCCATACTTGATCCTCTGCTTGGAAGACATACAGTTAAAAAGGGAAGGTACGTATGCTTGAGTGATCAGAATTTTTCCATGACAACTGGATCTATATTGCTTTGATTGCCACATTTTGCTTAGTGCTTCAACTCCTCATATAACAAATGATTTCTTTTTAAAATGCAATGGCTAATATCTGGAGATGAGTGGATATTAAAATGTTAGTATCTGCATCTGATTAGATAGCAAAATTATGTTCTCAGTTTCCAAATTGGACTCAAAATACTATATAGATGTGTGTTTCTCAAACTTGAGTGGAATTCTTTACTTCATTACTTTAAAAAAAAAAAGAGTAAAATAAGGAGTAGCATATATTATAATTCGGCTCAAAAGACAGGAAAGTATTTCCTTTCCTTGGAAAGCAAGGGGGAAGGTGTTGGAAACAACGGGCTAGATTTGGATTTAACAATAAAGAGTTTTCCAGCCGCAATATCAACTTAAGGAAACTGTGCCTTCACTATGCCGTAATTGGTTTTTCAGCCACCTCATGAAGTAATGAAGCAGTTTTAAAAGGAAAAAAACTATATAGATGTGTGTTTCTCAAACTTGAGTGGAATTCTTTACTTCATTACTTTAAAAAAAAAAAGAGTAAAATAAGGAGTAGCATATATTATAATTCGGCTCAAAAGACAGGAAAGTATTTCCTTTCCTTGGAAAGCAAGGGGGAAGGTGTTGGAAACACCTTGATTTGGATTTAACAATAAAGAGTTTTTCAGCCGCAATATCAACTTAAGGAAACTGTGCCTTCACTATGCCGTAATTGGTTTTTCAGCCACCTCATGAAGTAATGAAGCAGTTTTAAAAGGAAAAAAAAATGCAAAAACAAACAAACAAAAACCCTGGAAAGTAAGACAAATGAGGAAAAACTAATATGGTAGGACACAGGGCAGAAATAAGTAAGCCAGAGGTGGGGACTGTTGATGTTGTTATTGCTGCCAACCACCCATGCATCAAACCAGTGCAGCTGATCCTGGTCACAAATTCATCATGGCAGATGTCACGGTGGTGTTAGTGCCTGCTCAGTTTTCTCCCTAAACTTAAAAAGTGCAATTTAAAATATTTCTTAAGATCTTATTTGGATACCTTTTAGATACACATTTTCAGGGTGGTAATAGAGAAAATAAAGGAGTTTGTACTAGGTGCCAGAGAATTTCAGTCTGCAATGTCTTCCATAACTTCTCACGAAAACTTCAGATGAAATTGTTGAGTCCTCAAGGCAGATATCAGCCTAAAGAATAATGTTGATTTGTGGTTGCTTGAGAGTAAACTTATTAAACCTCACTGAATATTTCATCTGATGAACTGAAATGCCGTGTTTCTGCTCAAATATGAATTTAAGTCAGAATATGTTCTGTTCTTGTTTGCAAGCAACTCATCAACAAGCTAGATTTTTCATGTTGGAGAATGTGATGTTTATTATGCTATAAAGCCAGACATACTCCTGGGGCATTTCTGGATGGATCACACATGTTAGTCAAAGAGTGGTTAGAGTGCTTGAACAGCTTCATATTGTTGAAAGTGAAAATATGAAAAAAAAATTATAAATAAAGACGTTATCTTATTTTGCACAGGTTGCCCAAGATTTTTCTCCCTCGTTCCCACCCTATATTTCAGGCATTGGTGCCTGCACAGTAAACCTAAGCAGTAAAAAACAGCTCAAATCTCCTTGTATACATGGAGCTCCTGGAGGATGCACTCTTGCCCTACACTGTGAGACCTTGAAATGATCCCCCTTTGTTTCACTTCTCTATAGCTGTATTTGAAGTACTTCAGAGTAAGAGCATACAGCTTGCTTTTCAGAATCCATAGTGAAGAAACTCTACTGAAAATTAGTATTATACTGGTCTAAAAGAGAGATCAGAATTTTCGCAAGGTGACAGACTTTCAAGGAATGGGAGGATGTGAAGGGATGTGAAACAACAGAAAGAAGTTGGATTGAAAAGGACAAAGGCCACAGCAATACAGCTTTGCATTTATTTAACAAGGGCTTCCACATAGCACAATAAAGTTGTGTGTGTGGACATAAAAGCAAATATATGAAGCTACTCAAAAACAGGTTCTTCTGTTGAATATTTACATGACCTGGCATTCTGTGCCTGATTGAAGATGCACAAGTCACCTTTGAGGGGCACATGTGCCTGTGTGTGTATAATTATAGATATATATATGCATATATATGTACACACCACAATATATATATACACCACAATATATATGTACCCACCAATATATACCCCATTTATTTCCAAATAAGCAGTTTGCCTCATTCTTGATTAATTTCTGGGGTTTTTTTTATTTTAGTAGTTCTGTCAGGTACTTTGAATTTTTTCTTCCTAATAAAGAAAGACTAGAAAGGTATTTGTGATAGATATGGTGCAGTCCAGCAGTTGAAGTTCATTAATAATTGGAATGTTGCAGAGTATGAAGTAATGAATACTAATTACTCCTTTCATGTCTGACAGCACCCCATGGACCAATACATCAGCCCAGACTTTAATTTGGTTCTAGTAATGGTTTCATCAATAGTACATTAATTCTGTGTTTGAAAAGATGTACAGTTGAACCTGACCCACACAGTAGATACCACTGTCATAAAATGGCCACATACTGACAACAACTGGATAATTACAAATAATTAAATCCACTGAGCTTCAGACAATCCTAATTTTAAGTAAAATATATCTTATCATATCAATCGACAGAAAGCATAGCAAGGGAGATTTATCAACTTGTACTCCTTGCAAAGCAAATTTACTAGCCTGTTTATTAGAGAACTTGCTGATCTGTGAACCACATCATAAAAGTACGTCTCCCCTTCCTTCTTTGCAAGAAGGCTCTTATGTTTCACTCCTGGATATTCTGCAACAGCAGCTCTTGGTTTCTGAATGAAGCCTGCAAAAGAAATTCTCAGCCTTCGAGAACTTCAAATGAATAAATTTATATTTTCCTCAAAATCAGCTCACAAAAGGGTGAACTAAAGGTACTTGTTATCTCTGAAAAGCAGACTTCATGCTGAAGTGCCTTAGTACATATTTAGAAGCCTAACAAATTTTAGGTGTTCAAATTTGGATAAATTTTTAATTTTGGAACTGCAAAACTGCTCAGTTGTTTCTAGTGCACTTTAGACTGTGGCCATATCTTCAAAATGGCTTTAAAATGCTCAGATTTTTGTTAAAATATTTCAAGGTATTTGCTTTGAGAAGGAAAAGGAAGAAAATAATAAAATAATTTTAAGAAAATATCAGTTGTAGTACATAGCTTTATGTAAGCATGAAAACCACAAGACAAAAAGTAAGTAAAATTTGGGTCCAACATATTAGCAATGTATGCAAAAATTATTCAAGATGCAAATACTTAGGGGTTTTTTGGAGCAGAAAAACCAAGGCATAAAAGTAAATAGGTACCAACTCTATATGGTGTTGTGTTTTGGCCTTCACCTGCTATAAAGGAAGCTGTGCCATTTAATAGGTTTGGTATGGATGGCCCTTAATATTTGAATTTTTACCTGTGTGTGCCCTATCCTGTTTCCCCAGCACGTCTCTTTTGGAAATCACTGGCTATGAGCATTAACTATAACAGATCAGTGTTATTTTGACTCATAGGGGAGAAGATAGAGGAATAAATTCATTGTTCATAAGGCTCCTATTTGCATTTACACAAGGTGTTACACTTGCTGAACTCCTTTGCACAGTCACAGAGGTAGTCATGTCTCTTCAGCTGCAAGATTAGTTTAGGATTTTTAAGATGTCTTGAAGTTTGATTTATGTGCAAATATAGCTTGTATGAACAAGTTTCCATTTTTAAGAGGCATGAGTATTATTCATGAAACAGCAAGAAAATTCACTCCATTTCTCCACAGGGAGAAGCTTTCCTTGCCTTGAACACCTTGTCAGCTGTACAGCTTCAAGGCAGTGCCTTTCCCACTGAACTAGTTTGACCAACTTGCACAGTTTGCCTACTGAGATTGCCTAGTAACAGCCCCATTCTGTGCTTGTTTTCACCTGATTTATTCTGCTTCGTTCTCTGTGTTACTTGTTGGGGTTTGCAAGTCAGTTCCAGAAGGTTTTAATTTTAAGCAGCAGGAACTGAATGAAAGCTCCTCTGGAAAATGTGTTTATCCCTCTTTCTTCCTGCTGAAAAATATTGTTTCCCTGTATTTTCCTGTCCAAAAATTTATCACTTACTTCATTCTTACTGAGCTGATCCAAAACATCTCGCTACAGGAAGCTATCCCACCATTCTGCCATATAGAGTTATGGTCTGTTTTGGAGAACATCTGCCCTGAAAGGTACACTTTCATTTTGTGTTGCATAAGAAGAAAATGTCCCCTAAGAAGTGATGTTGCATAAACTCTCGAGCCATTTCATTATATGAAGTGTTGTTCCTATATTCAAAATTTTTCACCTTCATGAGTTCCTGTCTTTGAAAGACCTAGGCATTGTTACCTAAGGCAGAACATACACATGGGAGCAGCAGATCTGTGTGTCAATCAATCTAGCTTGACAGATCAGACAAGATGTTACACATGTCCCAGTCTTCTCATAGCTGAGTGCTCGTGTTACCTCCTGGAATTTATTTGTTTTTATATTTGCTTTGGCTAAAAATATTTTATACTCAGGGCATATATAGGTTTTTTAAAGCTTTTTAAATCCTTTTTGAATCCCTTAATCTAATTTATTTCAAAATCTATGAGAATTTCAACAGGAAAAAAAAACTAGTGGGGAACATCTCTTTTTAATTTACTCTGTTTGTTCTTGAATACCAGGGAGCTGGGACTCACATGAAAGATGCTGTGTCTATTTCTGGGTAGAGTGGTGTTTTAGTTCCATCCGTTCTGTCTGCTGCAGGTGAGGGAATAGGACATCATGAAGTAAACATTGCCAAAAGTAGAACTTGTCTTTAGAAATTTCTTTGGTGACTATTTTTTTATATTCCTTCTATGATGGACTTCCATTATTCATGCCTATTTTGCTGCATTTCTTCATAATCCAGAATTAAACTCTAAACAGATATAGTTTACTGAAAAAATTAAGTCATCCTACTGGGTTCCCCACTTCTCTGTTTATCGTTGTTGCTTATACTCTTGAACAGTGCAAGAGCAATAACAAAACATTTCTTTTTCCCAAATCCATAATTAACAGAAAACGTACAACAGCTGCAGTAATAAAACCCACCAAGTCATTATGTAGGTTTTGCCTTTCATAGGTGATAATCACAGAAATTGGTTATTTATTGCTTCTGTGAATTGAGAACTCCTAAAGGAAATATTTTAATCCAGAACTCTAAAACTTGTTATATTTCCTCACAGATTTCTGAAACACAGCATGACTCCCTTAGCAAAGGTTTTTCTTCTGACAAAGCAAACTGAAGGACGTGTCCTTTGTCAGATCTCTTGTTTCATCAATGTGTGTGTGTCTTGAAAACAAAGCAAAATTGTGTTCTGTATGTCAAGCTCCACAGTTTTGTCCCCTCCAGCTGCAGTCAGTTTTGAAGGCTGTGGAGAGACCATGTGGCAGAACTGGACAGTGAATTCATGTCCACCTGAGAGAGGCTGTATAATCTGAAAGACATGACCATATGGCTAAATTATTGCAGTATTATACAGGTATAAGCCTGGAAAACCCATCTCCAGTATTTTGCATGGCAGTGTTTTACAATATACATGTCTGATGTTGGGTTTTGTAGAATCATGGGTTTTCCAGCACTAGACATAGTAGGTTTCCTTAAGGAATTCACTTAGGCAGCTCTCTTGTCTTCCTTCTCCCTGGTGAAATGCAGAAGGGTCTTAGCACACCATTATGTTTAGCCTATGTCTTATAGCTAAGGGCATGTCAGAAGCAGGCAAGGGTCTTAAGAGCTGAAACCTGTTTCCTGGCTCTGGCAATGCCCTGTGATAGCCTAGAAATAAAGCAATGTTAAAATTTCTACAGATAGTACTTGTTTTATTCATGTCCTCATGTGACTTTCATCAATCTCATTTTAAGTGTTTAGTATCTATGTTAATGCAATCACTTTGAAAATTGAGTTAACAAATGCCAATTTGAATTTTATGAAGAGTTCCATGTTATAAGTGTTCTATTGGCCCTTTTTTAAACCCAGTTTTATTACTAATATTTGAATCTCCTTTCTTAGCAGAGAATATTCAAAACCATTGCCGTACAGAAAGCACTGGTTTTAGGCTCATGCGTGGCAAGTGAATCCTGAAAATTGACACACTGTTCACTGGGCAAGTCAATGACAAAGAGTTGTGTCACTGGGTCACACCAGACCAGACACATGGCACACACTGTAGTCCACAAGTGATCTTTCGACTTTTTTTGGTGCTATGCCACAGAAGTAGGAAGGTGAACTTCATGTTGCCTCCCTGCTGGGGCTCAAAATGGCACAGAGTGGCTGTGTAGGACAGGCTGCACCCCTCACTGAAGGTGAGGGATCAGGAAATGACAGCTCTTCAGTAAATAAAAGGTGAACCTAGCATAACTCATTCTTTCATCCAACGAATAATTAATTTGGAATGAAACATTTAGTAAATTACCTTAAAAAACATTATTTTTGTTGTTTCAGTTGCCAGCCATTCCCTCCTCTAGTCTATCCATTTGTTATAAACACATGTCCCTGCTTAGTTTTTTAGGCTATATGTTTAAGGAAATTACAGTAAAAACTAACAATAAACTCATTGGCATTTGTTTGAAAATTTGCCTAAGTTTCTGGTAAGTTATGATGATAGACATTTAGCCCTAAGCCAGAGATGCTTCAGTACAGCAGGGAATAATCTCCCTGTGTCTGTTGTATCTATAAATGAAACTACAAAAATTAAGAAATATTCCATGTATTCATTTTATACTTTTGGTGTGTTCAATCATCCTCATTTTGTTTCTTAAGTTGCAGGCACCTAAATTTTGACTTGTATGCATTTGCTATGCTGCTAAGATCATAGAGTACCCATTGTTTGCAATCTGAGATACCTGTGAGGTTTTAATTAGTGAGATCCCCATTCTTGTGCATTTCATTCTTTCCCAGATGTACCAAGACTGAAGACAAAAAATGTGAATTCAAAAAGAATTTTCATCTCATCCTTCACACTAAACTGGCTAACCCTCACTTACAAGCCACAACTGCAGGCTCAGACCACCTTCATTAATTTCACTGTCACCAGGGGCAGGCTGGAAAACCAGCTGTTTGCTGAGGTTGTTAATGCAAGACTCACAAAAAACATAAGGTAGGGACTACATTTTGATTTGTCTATTGCCTGCTCTAAAATTTTAAGTTAAGGATTAATATTCTGTTTGAATCCACTATACTGTAATTGTTAGTAGCCCATATTAGAAATATTTTAAGAGTCTGTAAAGTGTAGAAAGTTCTTTCACTGATTTGTTCAAATCTGTGCTCCCAAAGGGCTTGTCTTGACCTAAAGCTCTGCTAGAAATTAAATTTATTGTTATATTATTCCCACACTTCTCTCTACCGCTTGGTTTGTTCTGTGCACTGCATTTAATTTACAGAGCAGGATTAAAGCCTTCTGCAGTGCTTTGTGCTTCAGCGATCTTGAGCCAGTAAGTGTAAATAAAATTCCATGCCAGTCTGTACAAGGGTATAATGGCACTGTTAAGAGCTAGGGCATTTGGTTAATAAATCACAATTTATTCCTGCAAGGATGCAGTTCAGTGGCTGCTGCAGTCATACCAATATATAGTATGAGGAGAAATTATAAATGGTTAGAGGAAGGACTTTGGGCAGACTGTAATCTATGAGATAAAACCTGAAAAAAATATACTGAGGGGTGTGAAATGGATAACAAGAATACCTCCTATTTCTCTAGTGTGTCTTTCCAGTTATCTCATGTAATTAACTAACTTAATCCACAAAGATTTGCTCCACCTGTTTGAGGTACTCCTGCTTCATGTAAGGGCAAACTGGGTCAGGGAGTTTAATCAGCCCTTGAAGAATGAAAGCCATATACTTGGGAATGAGATCTGAAAACAGCTGTCCATTTACCTCTGCATCTGCACATTGTTCCACCTGGGACTGCCTGCTTACAAGGCTTGTATCACCCAGGGTTTTGGTGTGAGTCAGAGTCTGACTGAGAGCTCCCCACAAGACTAGTCAAGATCTTGCACTGTCAGAAGGTCAGTCCAGCAGATCAGACTATGACAACGTTTTCCCACTCTGTTTGCTGCCAAAGTGAGGTTCTCAGCCGTGTGCTAGTCTCTGGTTTTCTCAGCTGCCACATAGATTACGAGTTGCCATCCCTGACAAGATCACCGTCCTTTTGTGTAGTCTCAGGAGGAAGGGCAGTAGGATAAAGTTCTAGTCCATGACAACCTAAACCTCCTCACTTTGGGTGTGCAGAACCTCAGGTCTAGTATACTGGGACAGAAAGTAAACTGGCCTTTCAGAAATTAAATCAAATTAACTGATGTAACTAAACAGAAAATATAGCTCACAACTGCTATAAAACATTATTTCTTGCTGTGGCTGTTTAAACACAGTGTTTTTGTTCCCTCTGCTAGTCAGTCCTCACCAAGAAGCCAGAACAGTTTCATGACTGAGCTCAGGCAGCTGGCGGATGACAGGTTGCTCAGCCTTCAGCTGCCCAGGGCAGTCTCCTAGACCACAGTGAAATTGTAAAGAAAATCAAATCAGCAAAGTCAACTGCAGCAGAAATACAACACAAGGCAGTAACAATTGAACTGTTTCTAACAACTTAAAGTCACCTGTAAAATGCCTATTCTTATTATTCTATTATTATTATTTTAAGTGTAATATTTCTATAAGCTAGAATAGGAAGAGTCAAATTGCTGCCTTTCCAGAAGGGGCTGTCCTCCCCATATTCACTTTTTTGTATCTATAATATGTTGATGTCACATGTTTGATTTTTTTTTTAGGTGCTTGAATTAGTACTCATAAAATTAATAAATACCAATATGAAATTTGAACAATTGTATTAATATATGATTGCCATGTTTTCCCAGGTAAACAGGCATATTCCTGCAGAGGACTGTTATTCCCTAATGGTTGTCTAAGATAAGAAGCTTTCTTACTTCAGATATTTTCTACTGCCTGAAAATAAAGTCAGTTTTCTAGAGTATATCCATATTATTTTCTGTATGGATAGGACTATTTTGGTAATTGTACAGGATAATCATGGCACATTAAAAACAAACAGGACAGCTGTCACCATTCAGGTAGCTGAAGCCAAGGAAAATGGAGCTCAGGATGACACCACAAGAGAGCATTACAGACTGACAGCTGGAAGAGCATCCGCTCCTTACTCCGGGAGTGTCAGCCTGGGCAGTGTCAACCCCACCTACCAGCTCCCACTGAAGGCAAAAATGTCTCTTGCCAAGTTTTTTTTTCAAAGTGCAAGAAACGGAGTTCTGCCTCCAGCAGTGATGATACATTGGTTATTGCTTGTGCCAGATGTTTGCATTGGCAGGGCTGCGAGTCGGAGGAAAGAGAAAACGATGAGATCTCCTGCTGCTCTGAACCACAGTGCATCCCCACGGGTCTCTTTGTTGGCTGCTTCCATTCTGACTGTGCTTTCTGACTGTGATTGCGAAAGTTTACCTTCCTTCTGTTAAGCCATCCCACAGAGCCAGGAAGGAAGACTTTGGAGGAATTCTGTGCAAACAATTCCCCATCGTAAACCTACCAAATGATCTAATGCAGTGAGTAAGGGAGATCACCCACTCTAAAATTACCAGCTTGTTCAAGTGAGAGAGTCTCCATGCTGAGTTAAATAAGGAAGCAGAAGAGTATTGCTGTTTGCAGCTCTCACCCCTCGTTTGCTGAAAATTTCCTTTAAAAGCCTCTTTTCAGCCTCTTGCATTTTTCACTGCTTGGGTCAGCTCCTTATGGGAGCCTACAGTAGGAAACCAATTATCTTATGAGTAATAAAGCAAAAAAAGCAAAATCAAATAAATAAAAATAATTGTACTAACTCTCAGGCCTTCAATGCATCTTCCACAAAGCAAGCATACAGGTTGACAAATCAGGAGATGTTCAGTGTTGTATCTCTAACCTAAAAGAAGTTGTCACATATTCGACCTTTCTTTTCACAAACCAAGGATTTTTGAAAATTATAAGCTCATTTTCCTGGCCCAAATGGCTTTTCAGGTGAGGAGAAATTTTCATATTGGTGATGATGACATTTACTGGATTTACTGTTTCTTCTCTGGAAGCTCATGCCTGTGCCCAAACCCTGTGCTTGTGTAGTTTCTTACACAGGGTGGCTGCTACTTCAGTATCAACAATAATTGCAGAAATTCCAGAGATGCTACAATGTGATTATTTTCATTGAAAATGCTGCAATATCTTCATAAAGCTAGGTTCAGGATAAACAGCGTGTCTTAGCTGCTTGCACTTGGATAATTAGGGTTTAAATTGATCTACTATATAAGTAAGAAGTAAATAATACATATCCAAATAACACTCAGGCCATTGCTTTTCCTTTTCATTTTAGTAACTGTATGCCCTAGAAAAAGTCAGGGCTCAGGTGTACTGGGAGTCAGGGGTGTCTCTGAAGCAACTCTGATGACCTTTTTCAATTTTGTGTGCGGTCATGGTTCTTCTAAGTAGTAAAGAGATAGGACTCCTTGAACTGGATTCCCTTTTTCAGTTCAGAGTTGAACACAAAAGAATCCTGTTGACATTTTAACTACACAGCCATGGAGTATCATTAGAGTAGTTTGGGAAATTGCTTTTCAGTGCTATATCTTTTTTGTTATTATTTCTGGACACATGCCTCACCTAGACACTTTCAGATAAAGTCATGCATTCTGCCATAATTTTTTTAGTAGAAATAGTGGTGTTTTCAAAGTGGAATTTTCTTCACTATTTGAGTGCCTTTTTCCTTAAACATCACATACTGTATCTTGTGAGGAAATTATGTTTTACCATAATTTGTCCACTCCCCTAAAAGTAGAATTTTAACTCCCTACTGTAGTAAATGTTCCGTACAGGGTTTCCAGTTTTTCATATCTAGATGTTTAACAATGAGCAGACAATCACAACACCAACCAAAGTAAACTCTTACTGTTAATACTGTTTTTTATGTATGTGTGCTTGTGTATATATATATGTAATTTAGTATTTTAAATACTAAATTTAAAGGCAAGTCCTGAGTCCCTTGGTTGCACTAGGGGTTTTTACGTACCTCAAAAATTATCAGTGTCATCCTGTTTCAGTCATCATGCAAAAAGTACAACATCTGCCATGCTTCCAGGCTATGGCAGACAGATGTGTTCAGAGGGGTAGATAAAGATATTTAAAATCCACCAAGAAATGGAAGTGGGTGGACTCAACATAACCAGAAAAGGAGGAAAAAAGCTCTTTTCAGAAACTAGTAATACTGTCCAGGACAGAATGTCGTATGCTCTGAGGTAGGAAATCTGAGGATTCATTTTCCAGGGCAAGTGTGTGTGAGAGTAATGCTTTGCATGACAAATTCAGATCTTAAGAAGCAAGCAAATAACTTCTGGAACTGGGTGGTCAACCAGCATTTGAGATCCATTGCTGTGGTCCTTCACGGCCTGTTCTCCTGATGAAAAGCATATAAAAAAGTAGTGTGGTAAAACACGAGTCACAGCATATTTGAAGAGCTGTGATTGTGATTTCTTTTAGATTGAATATAGGTACCTGAGGAGAGCAGTCACTGATAAATAGACATACAGTAAGCTATCCTCTTAATAACTATAAATGTATTTTTCAGTTCTCATTATGATATTAGAGCTGCTAGGTAACCCCACAGGAAGACAATTTTTCAGATCTCCCTTTTGAAAGTTCTGTGATACCCAGAAAGATTCTGTATGTCTTCAGCTGTGAATACTAACGCGTTTGTTTTCCAGTTGTACTGTTTTTGTCTTTCGGTCCCAAGTGATGGTCCTATAGACCACATCCACAGTCACCATTTTTACATGACTTCTGAGAATGCAAGCTTGGTCCTAGGTATTTATTTTGCCCAAGTGCCCCAGCTTTATGTAACAGTATTGCCTGCATGTAATGAGGTCCTTTTTATTCAGAAGTTGTTATTTTCTGTCATATGGCAGCTGTCCTGCAGGGAAATGGGAAAGATCCTCTTCTCTCTTATTTCCCCACCTGCTTTCCTTCTTGCCTTCAGTTCACTCTCCTGATAATTTCTCTGATGAAATGACTGTCAGTCTCAGATACTCAAGTCTGAGAATGGTGCAGAAGTACTTATCAAGGCATATCTGTTGTGTTTAGCAGATGTTTTGTCATGTATAGAAATTGTGTGGAGAAAAATCTTGGCTCAAGGTACACCAAAAGCACAATGATGGATTTAGTAAAATGCTAAGAAGAGAGCAGTCCAGCCACTCCTGTGCTTTTCATGCTGTCTTCAGGACTAGACCCACTTGAAGTTCACGAGACCCTACATGAGCCTCTTACTTGCTTCTTGTTCAAGGACCACTTAACTGTCTCCCACTAAAGAAAGAACAATTGAGCTCGAAAGTGAAATGGGGCATGCGGGGCTAGAAATGTGGATAAACTGATGTATGGTTATATTCTTGTGTGTATGTGCTTCTGCACATGTATGTGTAGTTATATTTTCTTTATTGAACAGTACAAAGCCTTCTGGATTCATCTGTCACTGGGATGGGATATGCATTACTGTGCGGAAATTGGGCACACTTTATTTTCGGCAGAAGATTCAAGTTCTGAAGTTTCTTCCACCCCCACCATATTCATGGCAGTGAATGGATGAAAAGTGTAAGGCCATAAGCACTACAGTATGAAGAAATTTTTAGAGCATTCCTCTGCTTGGCATAATGAAGGTTTCCTTTGTACTGTTTTCTACCTTTTGACTAGATGAGGGCCAGAGGGCAATTTTCTCCATGCTCATGTAATCTTGTGCCCCCTGTGACTAAATAATGGTCATTATACAAACTATATTCAATTGTATAGGGCTCTGTGGCTTTATACGTAGGATTACTATTCCCCACAGACAATAGTGAGAATACCAGGTTAATACAGCTGTGACCTCACTATGCTCAATTTAAGCTCAGGCCCCACAAGGTGAGAGGCTTGTGCATTTACCCACTGAACCAATCAGTTAAAAAACTGATGTGATATCTACCACATGTTGCTCCCTTTTTCATGAGGGAATTGCTCTGTACCCCCCATAAGAGTTTCTAAAGCTCAGTAACAATGCTGAGCATCTATCAAAATGTCAAAAGGTTCATTATCTTAAAACCAAGGGAACAGATTTCTGCAGGCTTTTTCTAATACCAGCAATAAGGCCACCGTTGAGAGCTCGCAATTTTGCTTGTTGAAATTGTAAGGGTTTAGTGAAGTGCTTCAGAGGAAGTAATATGCATTGCACAAGTGATAGTGAAATTAATGGGGGCATTATCATTCTTTTTCCTTTCTGCTCTGCTAATTTTCCCATCTCCTCCCCCTCCATCACTCACCCTTCCCCAATTATTTCTATTGCAGGCAAAAAGCTTGGGTTCACTATAGACTCCGGAAGATTTCATAATATGTCTCTGGGACAAAAGCAGGAGATGGTTGCAAAGGAGGCACTCAAGAAAGCTGCCCCACATGGCCATTGGGTTCTTTTCCAAGTGAGTGTCAAACTTCCTCTCTGTTGGGGAATACCTCCTCACCTGGAAGGATGTTCCCAGAACACAAAATATGTGGTGGATTACATCAAAAGTTCTAAACAATAATAGTTCTAAGCTAATAATCTTGTTCCATTTGCTTTTGCTTTTGGTTGTAACAGGATAAACATCGTATTAATAGGGTTTTTGTCACTTTTTGCTGAACAGTGCATACTCCCAGGAGGAAAAGGAGGGATAACACAGAAAGCCCCTGTGGGTGCGTAGGATTGCCCTCAGGCACGCCCTTCCCCTGCCTAATTAAGAGCTCCTATTCCATTCAGCAGGCCATAATGGAGACTTTAATGAAATGGGTCTGACGATCCCAGGGGAAGCTGTATAATTAGTCCTGGAGTGCTGCTTTTCTGAGATAGCAGCCACGGCTTTGGCCAGCTTTGTATGGACCAAGAACCCGCTCTGCAGTGGACAAAGAGATCCGTGGGATGCCCTGGCAAGCCGTGGTTTCCCTGCACAGTAACAGAGCAAACAGGAGCACGGCAACCGTAAATGCCAGTGAAAAAAAGATGCTCCCTCCCCAGTGTTTTATGCTCAATAGCCAGTGTTTATATGTGACAACCTGTCAGTCCTGAAGCCAAACGAAAGTGCATGTTCCAGGCCTTGACATTAAGGTGGTTATGGGAATGGGGTGGTTCTCTCCTCTCCTGGTTTTAACCTCAGCAGCCTGCTTTGTCTGCCAACCAGGTTGCCTGGAACAAATGAAGAGATGGGTTAGAGTCAGTGTTTTCTGCCAGATGAAACAAAACCACCTTGGGATTAATGAGGGGCCCTGGTGTGCTAGGCACTGTGGGAGCATGCACAAACTGCACCCTTTGTCAGCAATGAAACTGGAAGTGTGCTTAACCATATTTCATGTGAGTGAGCTAATCATGCCAGTCTGAAAACAACCCTGCACAGAAATGCTGTGAAGGCAAGAGTCAAGTTGGATTTCAGGGAATGTCAGGGTTCTCAGCTGCTCTGGGGGCAGAATGAAAAAATGGGAGTTGGCAGAGGCAGTGTTGTGTCTGAAGCCGCAGGGATGGATGGGGAACATCTGAGAAGCTTCTGGCGTTACCTGCTCCATTTTCTAGCCTGTAATGCCTGGCTTTTGAGGGAGGAGAGAGGCAACAATTTTGCTGTAAAGGTTTTTGATAGTGAAGGATTGTGGGAAGTCTGAAAGGAAACTCTATGAAGATGTTGGGCCAAATCCCAAATAGCGCTAAGCTAGCTAAAA